TGTGGATCTGGAGAAAGCATTTGATAAAGTTATAAGGAAGAAAATGTGGGAACTGTTGCCGGAATATGGTGTGGATGGTCGATTGTTAAGGGCTGTGCAGTCACTTTACTATGACTGTAAAGCCTGTGTGCGGGTAGGGCATGACCTGTCACCCATGTTTAGCGTCCAAGCGGGCGTAAAACAGGGTTGTGTCATGTCTTCCTGGCTGTTCATACTGTATCTCGACAGCTGTTTACAGAAGCTGAAAAATAGCTGTTTGGGTGTGAAATTGGGTGACATAAAAGTTAATTGTCTGCTGTATGCTGATGATGCAGTGCTTATTGCACCATCAGAAGCAGAACTGCAGGCATTAGTCACGTGTATGAAAGAGGAATGTGAAATTAAAGGTCTCCGTTTGAATGCTAATAAAACTAAGGTTCTGGTATTTGAAAAGGACGGAGAGAACGAAATGTGAAATATGGGTAAATCAGGAATGTCTAGAACAGGTAAATGAAATTGTATACTTAGGGAGTGCTTTCAGCCGGGATGGAAGATGTGATTTAGATGTGGATAGGCGTGTCGCTGCCGGAAACAAAGTCAATGGTGCCCTGAATGCATTAGTAAAAAGGCAAGGCGTGGTGAAGAGTGCACGCCTTGCAATACATAACGCAGTGTTGGTACCGACTTTGTTATATGGCAGCGAAACCTGGGTATGCCCGAAGAAGCATAAAAGCAAGTTGAATGCAGTGGAGATGCGATCTCTTCGTAAAATGTGTGGCGTTACCATAGCCGACCGAAAGCGAAACGAAGAGATTCGCAATATGGCAGGATTGAAAGATGACCTTATCACAAAAATTGATAGGGGCGTACTCCAATGGTTTGGGCACGTTGAACGAATGAGTGAAGACCGAATGGTGAAGAAAATATATAGAGCGAAAGTAAATATTAAAAGGTGTCGAGGTAGACCGAGACTAACTTTCGAAGACCATGTGAGCAAATTGCTCGAAGAGGGGAGGGTCAAGAGTACTCGGATACCTAGACGTGCATGTATGAAGAAGTTAATGAACCTGAAAGAAGCGAAAGAGGTATGTAAGGATCGTGACACTTGGCGATCTGTTCTCTCTGGCTACCCCGTTAGGGATTGTGCGTGAAGATAAGTAAGTAAGTATTTTAGACACAAATTCTAGGATGTGAATTTCTTAGATACGGAGAGATGAGGCTGATTGTCTTGGCAGATCTCAAAAGATAAATGCCCCAGAATAGCAGAAAAAATACTCAAATTAAAAAGAGTATGATATCGTCTACCATCCAACGACTACACAGCCCGAATAGACGCATCGTGCAAGGCAAAACAAAAAGAAAACGATCGCACGATCTACTTTAGTAGCGACCACTTCCCTGATCCGTGAACATCTTGCATATGACTCGTGAATTTCCGACAAAATAAAATACAACAGACGCGCAACATGGTTCCCTGTACAATAAAATAGTGCGGAAATAGTATCCAAATGTGTAATTTCAAAAAATGGCATCACTTTTCATAGATAAGTGAATTTTAATTTCAAAATTCATTAATTAAACTTAAATCAGAGCTCAACCTATATTTGTCACAAGCAACTCGCGTTGATTTATTCGGACATCTACGGATATTTTCCTTTCTTTTCAATGCAGTTCATTGTTGCTATACTTTTCTTTAATAACCGGCACGTGTAACTAGCGCTGTACGAGTTAAACTATAATATTGGTACAGGTAAATATTATGCATGTTGTCGTGAATGTTTTACAGACTTATACTATAAGCGACATAGGTGTAAGCTGAATTTTTTAGTAAATGTACGTTAATCCATATTTCAATTAATTGATTTAATAATTAAATCAAATTATTCAAAACTTCTTAAAAAATTCATAATAAAATTGAAATAATTTTAATAGACGGCACTCCGCCCTCTTTACTGCTCAGACGCCTCCATATGTCATGTCATGTCAAGACAAGTAGGAAACGGAAGTGAACTTGACAGCTTAAATAGCTGTTGCTATTTTATTTTTAATAGTATTCTATTATTATTTCAATATTGTAAAGAAAGCTTGTTTTAATAAAAATATTCTTTAAAACAAAAAATTATAGGTATTTTACTAAATACGATACCTACTTAAATAAAACTTTTTTTTGTACTAATTTATAGTAGAATATAATTCTGGTACTGATTAAGTAGACTTGATACCAAATTTATTAGTTAAAGTTCCCATCACTATTTGCTTATTAGCAAGTGTCGCAACCTTAATTTTAACCCATTAGCGTGCATTTCAACTCTCCTCCCCTCCTCCTCCCCCGTACCACTTACCTCAGACTTTTGACAAAAGGTTTGGATGCAGAAGCACATACATTAGGCGTCTATTCGGGCTGTGTAGTCGTTGTCTACCATTTATGCTTAATTAAACATAAAATGAAAAGTCACATTATTTTTATTATTTGTATTAAATAAAGAAATTAAAAATTTGCTACTATTTACAGTAGTTATAACAATTATTTCATTTACTAACTAGTAGAAATCTTCGTTTTTGCCTGTATTAACTTCGTGTGATAGTTTTGTTCTCCGTTGTGCATTTCGACCTGTAAATAAAGCAAATAATGTAATTAACGTTATCACCTATTATGAGTTTGCCGTACGGTAACATCGTGAAACGCATCATCACATAATATGTTCCCGTGGGTGTCATAGAGGGTAGAGTGAGAAATACTCTTATGGTTACCAATAGTTGTACTATTTCAGCTGTAAAATATTCACATAGACGACAGATAGCAGCGTCAAACGCGCAAGAAGTTATGACAAGCTTTTCGTACAAGAGAAGACACCCGTGTTAAGTTGTGGACTGTTGCAGGTTCATAAAGAATATGAAATTTATATAAATACCAACGTAAAATAGCAGCCTATTACTGCTGTGTTGGACGTATGGTGGAAAACCGGTGACCCATTTTACTGGTAACGAGACATTTTATCTTAATCCTCACGTATGACAACACATTTTAATTTTTATCTATTTAGCAGTCTTATGTATAGGAAATATTTTGGAGAAATGTGAAGTCTGCACATCTGCACAGCGCGGCAGCGACCACTTGCACTATAATCTTTAAAAGGACTTCTTTTTTTAAAAAGGCGTCAAAACGTGTCGTTCTCATATTAGCGTAAACACATTTAGCATTATTTCAGCTCAGCTCAATCTATATAAAATCTTATTAACTCACCCTTATCTGATAGACATGTATGGGCTGTCTATAACCACAGTGAGAATGAAGGGCACCATAAACGTTAGAATTATATACGACAGCGATTTAAATAACTGAAACGAATAACTTCCCTATTAGTTTAAAAAAGATTGTGGTATGCTAATTGGGAATGCTATCTTTTTGCAAATAAAGTATAAGAGTTTGTTCTATGAAAAAGCGAAAAATGTAGGTTATTGCTTATACGTTTTATCGATACGTAAAATAAACATCAAAACTAATACATACAAGTACGTATAAACTCGTAAACTTTTTACGTAAAAAGTTATCGAATTGATATGTTGTTTGTTGTTGTGTTGTGTGCGGAATCCTCCACCGCATTTTACTATAATGAACTGTTAAAAAGTTGATAATGATTTCCAATCAAACAAGTTATTTCCTACTATTATTTATTTGACAGTTATACGAACTCCGTACCTATAAGGAATAATATGAAGTTTCCTTCATAGTATGGAATTTTCTCCAATTACGGAATGTTTTGTTCGGTTATGTTCAGCTGCGGATGTTCAGAGATTTGTGATAAGGACGAGAATGAGAAACATTATAAGTAATGATATAAAGAATATTTTACATATTATTATACATGTTCGTGGAGGAAGAAATGGGCATCTTCTCGAATACCTAGCTATGTGGATTTACGGAGTTTTCATAAGGATTTCACATAATATATCGACGCTGGAAAGGAAAAATTATCCAAGCGACATCAGACTAACTTTACAGTAGAGCTGTTTAAAGTTTGAATTTTCTGAAAAAAAATCGTGTAAATTTTTGTAATGGTCCAAAAAGCCCAATTCCTAGAAATTTATTTGTTTATTTTTTTATCTACATTATAGTATACGTAACTATTAAAAATAATGCTTAGTTTTAAAGTTAGTGTCGCTTAGTAAGATTTTCCCTAAAAGTAGAAACGGGAAAAATTGACTAACCGACAAGCTTTGATTAAGGAGGGTACGGTAAAAATGTAGTATATATCTTTTTTTTTTTATTTATAACAGAGTAAAAGTTGCCTTACCAATATAAAAAACATGTGGAAGTTGAGGCAAAACAACCTAAATATTAATTTTATATTTTTTTTTCCCGTAATTTTGACATAAACGACATTTTTACAAAAAATTGGATTAATCTTTCATTAAAGAATTACTAAAAAATAATGGATAAATAAAATGCACTTAAACTGTCTTGAGTTTTATTAAGTTTAACAAAGCAACATTATGGTACACAGTATTAGTATTAGTTAGGTATTATAAATCTACTTGTATATCACAATAATAATAATTATGTGTTCTAGGGACATTGAGATCTTAAATTGTAAAAGTATTTAGTCCTATTAATATTATTATAATGAATATAAAATTTGAATATGTTTACAAAACTAGTAACATTTCAGTCACAACAAATTTACCTCATAGGCATTCAGAAAACAATATGTAACAAAAAGAAAACTTATAAAAAAAACGAACTTAATTCAAATTCTAAAAATAACAGTAGCCATATCAACTATACTCTATCAATTATAGTATGAATCTAACAGCCGCCAGGGAACCATCCTATAATTGACAGAGTATAAGTACTGTGCGAAAACAACTTACAGCTAGTAATATTTTCAGTCATCATCTACATTATAATATGAAGTAACAATTAAAATAATAGGAACCCGTTTAAAGCTCTCATTGAATAAACCGAACTAAAAATAAACTTCTAAAAAAAACAACATGAAATAATCTGTATGTTGTAATTATTATTCATCATCTTCTATATCTGATTCAGGCAAGGTATCTTTTGCATTAGTAGCTTTTGGGATAATGGAGTATTCGTGATGGAATGGAGCAGGTATTACTTTATCTTTACAAAGTTTCATGAGATCATTATATTTGGCCTCTGCGATTGGCAGTCGTGATCGGTAGCAAGGCATCAGTGGACCTTTGGTTTTGGATTGAACTTCGACATTATACGATTTTGCATTAACGTTCATGGAGTCTTTGATAGAAATCATGGAAGGCTTATTTTTCTTGACAGTCACGCCGAACTCCAAATTCCCTTTGAAGTATTTATCACCAACGACGTCCCATCTATTAAAACTTTCAAAAGTCATTGCTTCAACTTCATACGGAAAAGGTTCTTTTCTTGCCGTAGCAAATACAGTGTACCATTGCGAAGGCGCATGAATTATAGTTTTTTTAAGGTTGTCTCTCTCTATAACGGCGTGTACACTGTCAACAGGCATATATGTGTGTCCTGTTAGTAAATAATTAATTTGTATCGTCTGAAGATTATTACACTCCTGCAAAGTAGAATGTATCATGGCTAGGACAGTGCGATTTCTATTCTGCCCAGGGCAACAGTCGCAGTATAGAAGAAGGTGTTTTATATTTTCTCTTTCATCCACAGATTTTATGTACCTGTGGAGAATACTTGCGATTTCATTTGCACCCCTTTTCCCGTTGCTTTCATCTCAATAATAGCAAGTTACTCTACGTGTTCCGTTTTCGTAGAAACATAGATTATATACCGCTATTTTTCTTGAATAATAAAGCAGCATTGATTCGCCATGTGGAGTATTCAACACCTTCTCCAAGTCGAAGCTTGCACATAATGTGGAAGGATCAGTTTTGTGTATAGATTTATGAGTAGAAAATCTATTAAAACTTTCTTCTTTCTCTGTTTCATGATCTTCCTTTTCTTTCTTTTTTTTTTGGATCGCTGAGATCTGCTTGTTGCAACTGTAAACATTTCAGGCACTTGTCTTTTTTAGGGACATGAAATGATATATTAAATTCTTCGCTAAATATTTTTCGGAAAATCTTTTCACTAACTATGTCTATGCCAGCTTTCACGTTGCGTTCTTTGTAAACGCTGTATACGTGTGCAATATTTTTGTATTCCTGCGGCAAGTAAACCCGGGTAGAATCATGACGGCAATAATGTGAGGGGACGGCTGGTAGGCTTTTGATGAAATTGACGGCAGACTCTTTAGTACTAGGTTTGGTTTTGTTGTGTGGTTCACATTTTCCTCGCAAGTCTTCTTTAGCACTTCCCGAGGAAGCATTTTTTACCGTGTAATATATACACTTTTGTGAAATATCTAATGTTGCTGCCAAAAACTGTAAGCATACAGATCTTTTTCCTTCACCATCAGTAATGCAATACTTATATGTGTAACTGCGCAATTCTGAACTACTACGTTTACGTTTAACGTTTCCTTTGTCAGTCATGCCAACCAACCAGTCTCTACGGCGTTCAGGGGTAAGCGTCCAAAAATGTTTAAATACTTGTTGCCTTTTTTCTTCGGTTACGTTTTCACAATTGTTCACACATTTCTTACCCTTACATGGATTAGGTTGAATTGATTTTTCTGGCACTAATTGACCATCTTTTCTTACGTATTCTTTTCCTGTTTGTTTCGAAAGAGCCCTTTCCTTTCTCGTGTTTTTCTTCACTCTTTTTAAACCTTTTTCTCCTACGTTCTCGTTTTCTGTATCCAAATTTTCTTCAGTATTATTTTCAAGCAATTCCCTGTTTTTATTCTTACTTGACTCTTTCCGCTTCTTTTTCTTATTTTTTCCTGTTTTTTTCTTATTTGACTGGTCTTCTTCTTCATCACTGTTTGACGTGTCAGATCCTACCCATTCGTCAGAATCAACTGCGCCATTCTCTTCACCAAGACAGAATAAAGTGGAAAAATCTTCATCAGACATGTAATCAACATATCGGATACTTGTTTTGGCTTTTCGTTTACGAGTACTTACACCTAGAGCAGCCTTATCCTTTGGAGGTAACTCCTTATTGCGAGAGACTCCTGGAGCTGGATCGTCAATCGAAGGCAAGTCCATATTGTGAGGGACTTCTGGAGCAGGATCATCATTCGAAGGTAAGTCCACACTGCGAGAGACTCCTGGAGCTGGATCGTCAATCGAAGGTAAGTCCATATTGCGAGGGACTTCTGGAGCAGGATCATCATTCGAAGGTAAGTCCACACTGCGAGAGACTCCTGGAGCTGGATCGTCAATCGAAGGTAAGTCCATATTGCGAGGGACTTCTGGAGCAGGATCATCATTCGAAGGTAAGTCCACACTGCGAGAGACTCCTGGAGCTGGATCGTCAATCGAAGGTAAGTCCATATTGCGAGGGACTTCTGGAGCAGGATCATCATTCGAAGGTAAGTCCACACTGCGAGGGACTCCTGGAGCTGAATCGTCAATCGAAGGTAAGTCCATATTGCGAGGGACTCCTGGAGCTGAATCATCATTCGAAGGTAAGTCCATACTGCGAGGACTTGTTGTTCCAGTCTGCGAAGGATCGAGATAAACCTGCCAATTATCTCGAACGGTATCATTAATCGCAGATATGTCCATACTGTGAGAAACTCCTGATGCTGCATCGTCATTCGAAAGTAAGTCCGTACTGTGGATATGCTGCATGGTATCTGTAAGAGCTGCGACAACTTCCTCAGGGTCATAGTTCTCTTCATCTTCAGTAATACGTCGTGATATTACAGGCGCAGTTGAAGAGCACTTACGCGTTTCATTCTGAAATAAACGAAGTAGCTTCTTTAATTTATTTTATCTAAAATCATGACATGACCATATGGCCAAAGATTTAATTAATGATGATTGATTACTCTCAATGACATTAGTCGAAATAAGTCAGCTAAAATGTACTCTGCAAAGTACAGAATCATCAGCAAATTATTTTTATACCATATAGTATCCCTAGTAATTGAACCAGGGAATTTCTTAAGGTAGAATACCCTAAAGGAAAACTTCACTAAGAAGCCAAATTAATATTAGAAATAATTTAGTTTATCTTCTTGTCGTGTGGGATACCGAGTCAACGAACGACCCGATGAACCCTGGTGTCAGAGTTTTTAAACTCCCTACTACTACGAGTAGGCCTCTGACATGGTTGTGTTACGACCGCCGCCGTCTAAGTGAACATAGACAGCAACCGGGACCGACGGCTTAACGTGCCCTCCGAAACACGGAACCATCTTTCTTACGGACAATCAGGTGGTTCAGCCTGCAATGTCCTAATCAAACTGGGAACAAATTCACAAAGTGAAAAATATCAACTTTGTGTGTTCCCCCCCAAGAATCGTACCAGGGACCTCCGGATCCCGAGACCAACGCTCAGACCACTAGACCACGAAAGCAGTTAGTAGGTACGCAATAATTAAATTAGTAAGATATGTCTTATATTTAAAAATATAATAAAATACGTCGGTAGGTACTTACAGACTCTTCAAATTTTAGTTGTCTGCAATATTTTTTTTTATTCGTCTGTTTCTTTTCCTCAGTGACAGTCTGACTTTTACGTCCAGGTGCTTTCTGCTTCTCTGGGTCAGTTTCTTTAGACTTTTTACTGGCCTAAAACATGGTAAAAGTTTCATATTTTGTTATAAATTCTGACCAAATTATTTATAATCCAAACATACACCTACCTACTTTCCTCTAAGCTAGCACTCACTTTTTATAAACATAAGAGAATAACAATTGAAAGATAGTTGTGTAGGTCCTTAAAGCAGCAGTACCAATATTACTTTTAAACACACGACTTTGGCCATATAGCTATATAGCGCCAGTGACGAGACGTGACCTTCAATCAATGAGTACCTAACAAGCTAAACGGAGCCCTTATCTAGGTATGATAGCAAAACAGAAATCTAATATAGGTAGGTACATAACATAAATAATAATACGAAACAACAATGAGAGATGCAAAGAAAATTACATACATACCGACTGTAAATCGTCCTTGGTTTTAAAAGAGATTCCCGATTCTTTAAGAGCCTTTTCCAAAAGACTATGACTACGTTTTCTTCGGTCCATTGTTCTGAAATAAAGGTACACCATGTAGTAACGCGAAAACAGCATTAAAAACGAATTTATTTGTTAGTTCAACTTACAGTTTTCGTGTTTGTCATAAGATAAGCGTAAGCGGTACCTCAGTTGACAACGGAATTGCAGCGTGCGCGTGTCTCCCAAGCGACGACCGGCCGTGCACTGAAGTATCTTTTTTACTTTGAAACTAACTTCACTGCATGCTCAAGCGACTGCTCACGCGTTATCCGTAAGTGTAACCGACGTTTTTTATGTGAATTATTTTAGGTAAAAATAAACTTTGCGCCTGTGCGTGACACAACCATAGGATGTAACCAACATTGGATAATCGTATACGGTCAAGTAAAAGTTGCCTAAATAATAAAATAACACTTGAAAACGGCAGGTAAAAATTGACTAACCGACAGTCAGTTGTATTTTTAAGCAGGTAATATTTGCTGAACCAGTTGAATATTAAAAAAAGAAAACTGCCAATTTTAACTAAACGCCATGTTCGAAAAAAACCAAATCAGCCAAAATTACCTAAGTGATAAAAGAACAAATCCTTTCTGAGGAAAAAATATACTATGCGCCTTACACTATATTGCCAGATACTGGAAAAATTAACTAAGTGGAGTAATTACCGTACGAACAGAAATGTCAAACTTGACCAAAGTCAAATTTAGCATTTCACAATTACGACTACCACCAAATTTTCAAAAATGCTCGAAAATTTTGTCGGTTAGAAAGGAAAAAAAAGTGAAACCTCGCGAATTCCATAATGTCGAAGCGACATCAAAAGTCGTCGTAGAAGGACGTGAGTAAGACCAAACGACGCAGAAAAATCAGGCGATTCCAACAATGTTTATAACTCAATATGGCCAAAATGTCGCTTGGATAATTTTTCCTTTCCAGCGTCGATATGCAGTTATGCTTAAACTCCCTAAAGGGATTTTGGCTTACACGATTGACCCATACAAAATGTTTATGTTTTTATGCGGGGATGAAAGTGCTGTGACATTACGACTATATAACTACATACTTACAATCAATACTTACTTACTTACTTATCTTCACGCACAATCCCTAACGGGGTAGCCAGAGAGAACAGATCGCCAAGTGTCACGATCCTTACATACCTCTTTCAATCAATGAAACAGAAATCAGTTTTACATCTTACAATCAATGAAACAGAAAACAGTTGCGGGGTTCTTTTAGCATCACCGACAAAAAAAAATATTGGGTATATAGCGTCGAAATTTTTCTTTTATCTTTAGAATTGATGTTAACAGCGCCATCTCTCTTTAAATTTATACCTATAAAAAAGTTGGTGATTACCTGTGAAACCATTAAAGGGACTGAAATTAGGTAAATAAGAACATTTTTATAATTTTTAAAAATGTCTGTCTGTTTCTTTATGAACTCATTAGGTATTAAGTAAAAAGCGATTTCATTGAAAAAAAAGCTTTTTTTTTTTTCAATTAAA